ACATACTGCTTTCCCATCTAACCAACTAGACAACGTCCTAACCTGCAAAGCCAGACATGCTGTCCTACAAAAGTTGGAACAAGCTACAAACTACTTCCACTTATTACATTATGACCATCTGTAACAAAGATTGTGCTGTTATTCGGATACCAAAACATAGCTCAGGTTAAATCTGATTTGTCACTACACTGTTGCTGCCTTGCTAATTTTAGTTACACAACTTTGTTCTACAGAGATGAATCTAGAAGAAGGGTGTGCCAGGACAGGGGCTCCATGCTGCACATCTGAGAACTGGTTAACCAAATTCAAGACCAGAACTTACAGATCACTTCAAGAACCACATATAGCTAAAAAGAGAAATGAGCTTCTCCTTCAACGTCTCAGAATTGGATTCAATGAGCATCTTCTTTAACAATTTTCTTTGGCTACATGTCTACTTTATCAATAAATGGAGGGACAGGACGAGAATTGAAAGCTTAAAAGAGGCAAAGACTTACTTGGACAAACATATACTCCAACTCCCGGTTCATCTTGCCGCTTTATGAAGTCTCTAGCTCATGCTGCGAGTCTGCTGGTTTCCTGGATGCCTCCAGCCACATGCGCCACAAGACCAGACACTAGCTGGATAGATGAAAACCTTCCTATTGTGTCTGCAAACACAGGCAGCGTTCACCGACGTCCCCCAGCCTTCATTGCCCCGTGACAGATGACTGGCCATCCCTGCTGTCTATCAAACACCCCGGCTTCCTGTCTCGATCACATGAGTTGTGAGGCCGACGGATTCTCAAGAGTGAGAAAATGACTTGTTCCAATATCCAAACATTAATCCAAATGTTTGTTTCTAAACCTAATACTTGTTTGTATGCGCTGTGTATTTACGACACTTTTCAATTACTTTAGGATTCCAGATGCATATTGGAAACAATGTTGAAACTAAATGCTAAAGGTTTGTTCCCCAAATCATCACAAGAAATAACTGCTGCACCACCACACTGAACAGTAGTAATCACTATTTTAGCCATAAACATGAGGCCCTCCTCTTGGTGTGTTTGTCTGTGTTCGACAGGCCTGCGATGACCACATGCCAGAGCATATACAACATGACTACGTAATTACCTTCACTTGGTTATCATAGCGATCTAATGCACACGCTCTCAATTAGAGCTAGGGAGAAAAAAATAAACCACTGACATCAGATCATGTAAAACTCGTCACCGGATGCAGCTGAGATGACACATTTAGCAAGCAAAGCATAAAGTCCTATGTGATCTGATATGAAATTTGTTTACCATGTTTGTTTACCGCCTTTGTTTAGTGTGTTAGCGTGCTAACATCGGCTCATTTGCACCAAATACAAAGTACAGCTGAGCTTCATGTGAATGTCATTAGTTTTGCAGGTATTTGGTTATAAAACCAAAGTATTGGGAAAATTAAAAGTTTTGACATGATGATGGCGCTAGATGGAAAGTCAGAGGACCGCAAAGTCATTACAAGTCATGCAGGGGGCAACGCGAATGTCTGAAGGAAATTATGTGGATCAAGTAGATGTTGAGATGTTTCACAGGAAAAATGAAAAGTTACTGGAAGCGCTCGATGAGATATTTCAGTCTGGACCAAAGTGGTGGACTGACCGTCCATGCTCTCAAAAAATTAGGGATGGATAAATTAAGTGTGATGCAAATTAAATGTACACTAAATCACAAAATACCACTGTGGCACTGCTCCCTACGGGTCGAAATGGTCAAGCATGCAGTGCTTTCAGTAACACACCAACAAGCGATGTAACGGCAGGTGTTTCCCTGTCCATGACAAAACTCGCTCCCTCACATCGCCATGATGGCGTGTGGCCATATGTGCAACATGCTGAAAAGTTTCAACCGACTACTGTTTTCTGACCCGTATGACTCAATTCTGATTTACCCTAAAGTCTCCCATCCCTGTACCACGAGCAGCTCTTTTAGCTCAGGATTCAGTCACTCTGACTAGACCCTTTAGAGGTGGGACAAATGCTGTGCGATCATGCAATCACAGCACAATTACTGCAAGAATACACAGAAATACTCGCCGATACACTGGCACCAACACTGCAATGAACTGTCGTGTGATACTGTGGCAGGAGTGTACCTGTACATAGTTTCATCACAGAGGTCTTTTGAGTGATGAAAGCACCGCGTATTGCAATACACTCACTTGCTAAACTCACTTATACGGACAAATCAAGGCTGTCTGAACTGCACCCAGACGCAACACATCTCTACATGACTTTTCTACACAGCGAGTTTTTTGTGAAAAGGGAATCGTTTTCCTTCCAGTTTCAGGTAATGAATAACTAAATAAACAAAACAGCAAAACACCCAAATGCAATATGAATTTCTGAGACTCAGGTTGTGTGTTAAATAGCTTTTCCATCTCTGAGTCATCTAATGGAGCACTGCCTCACTGCCATTTTCATTAGAATATCCTCCCTCTCGTCGGCCTCTGCTTTTAGTTATACCGCACTTCATTCACATTCACGATCTCTTACTAGTTTTGAGCCTGATTTGATTTACTTACTTTATTTGGCTCAGGCGGATGGAGCAGACTGAATTAAATCTAATAAAAAAATACAGATTTCTTTTCTTTTTTTTGCAGAATGTTTACTATTGTAGCTTTGTCCTCTAACCTACAAAATGTACCTTCACCTCTGACTCACCTCTCTATAACGCATCAGGTCAGACGGGAGCCAAACGTATATTGGAGCAGAATCCGATCCTGTGTGTGTGTATTTGTGTGCGTTTGTGCATGTTAACCAAGCAGTTCAGCTCCCCTCAATAAGCTTCTATAAGGCTGACTCAAACGCACAAAGGACAGAGTGTTTTCCACCCCTGTGTTGGAAAAGAAAATCACAGAGAGAGGTCTGACATCAGAGGCCAACTTCTAAAAACACACTGCACCATTCAAAGTAGAAACAAACTTTTTCTTCCCCAAGCTTCACTGACATGTACACCCAAAGTTAAAACCATTTAACGCCCAACATGATTCTTATGGAAGAAGACAGCCAAATTGACGGCTGGCTACAAGCCAAATCCTACTGGCAGAGGAAAGAAATTTAGCACCTTCATAAAAAAAACCACTCTGATTTTGTTGATGGTTGCTGGTTGTAATTTCACACCTGGGTGCTACTTAAGCACATCCTTTTTGCTAAAAGAGATTAAAAGCAGCAAATGTCTGCAACTAACTGTTGTTTTCATTATAGATGAATCTATTCATCACACTGCAAGTTTATGTGGTTTCAAACCCATTGTCATTCATTTAAAACCACCACCATTAGGAAGACAGCAAAAAAATCTTACTAGACTGGAAGGATATCCTGAAAATTGAAAGGCATGGACATTGAACATGCGGACAGAACAGTTACTATAGAAAAAAAGCACAGTGACTTGCTTGCAACCACCTATCAAAATATAAATATACGCTTATTTTACCTTTGTGCACAGCTCTGATAAGTTTCACTTCACACTTCCAATCACAAGTTCCTAAAGACAAAGATGGTGTCTTCAAATTTCATGTTTTGTCCAACCGACAACAACCAAAAAGGATTTAATTTAATTTTATGGATGACGTTCGCATTTAAGAAGCAGGAACCAGTGAGGTTTTGCTTAAATTGTTGCCACTTTCTGTTGATCAATGAACTGAATATTTCTTCGAGCACTAAATGCAACACTCGCCTTTTTGTTTTCCTCTCTCTTTTAGAGATCAGAGGTCAGGGTCAGCTAGAAAACAGCTTCCCAGGAGCCGGCGGGAACGCGGTCAGCAAAGTGACCGCTGGCTGACACAGGGTTCAGATCTCATCGGTTTCATAGACTTGGCCTTTGAACACTTGTCTACGCTAATCTAAAGGACAACAAAACCCAATTGAAAGTAGAGTGGTTCAAATTAAAAATACACTGCAGTGCTGCTGTTTGGTACGGATTTAAAATGGAATTTCAAAAGCAGTCGTTATCATCACACACACTGTCACGTTTCCCCTCCACCACAACCTTATTCAAGCTGGTCACACCAGCTTTCAAAGTAGGGGGGATGGGTGACTCATCTCCTTCTGCCTCTCTCTCTCTCTCACTCTCACTCACACACACACACACACACACTGGCCTCTTTCTTTACTTGGTTTCACATTTACAATAATAGAAATACAGCAGCAGCAGACCGTGTGACCTTGTGGGCCTCTCGGGCAGCATATCATACAGTCTTCAGTGAGCATTTGCTTGCTATAAAGCTGCACGGAGGCTTCAGGGCCTCTAAACATCCTGGATGCTACAAAGGATGCTAAACTGTCCGGATGCGGCGCTAATCGCAGCATCAGCGGTACCCGGTCTGCAGGACTCGGCTCACAAGCCGTGTCAGGAGCCTCAGACACGCGCTACCATCAAAATAAAACACTAACACAAGGTTAATGCGCAGGTTTGAAGTAACGCTAAATAATATGGTTCACAGTAGTAAAAACCTAGCGCCTCCATCATGGCTGGCACCGCCTTTGCATCATCCTGCCCCCCCCTAGCCTCCAGTGGGCCGATGCTGTAAAATATGAAGGCCCGGGGGAACAAGATATCTGGTTTTAATGAAAGAACAAGGTGACAAATGTTAAAATACACCTGGTTTTGTTTTTAAATGTGAAAAAGGACGACTGTAGAAACAAAAACGACTCCCTGCCGCATCTGTTGTCTTTTTGTCAGCTGCACCCATTCCAGCGCTGAACACACATCTATATTTAAACAGCCAAACACATCAAAACAACATGTTTTTTGGGGGGGGGCTTAAACCTGGTTTAAACCCCATTTTCATTCATTTTTTTTAAAGCCAGCGCCACGCTCGCTGTCAGAAAGACACATTTTTCCCATCCAAGCGTCAGCATGTTTACTGACAGGACCTTCTGGATATTTAAAAGCGTTTTGCAAGACGCCGAAGACACACGTATTTAGCCGACGTGCGAGCACTCAGCTATAAACATCCACTTGTCTTACCTTTGTGTACAGCTCCGACGCTGCCATGACGGTCTCTCGCTATGTCCTTTCTCCAGTCTGGGCTAAAACTCCGGCAGGTCTCCGCGCCGCATCAGACTCGCTGCGTGCTTTGATGTAGCAGAGGAAAGAAATTTCTGTGTTGCTGCAGAGGCTCAAGGGGAAGCCGTGGCACTCGTCGCCATGATACCCTGAAATGTTTAGGGCTGCTGCTGCTGCTGCTGCTGAGGTTTCGGTGTCTCACTTTGCATTCTGGGTACGATGGATGAAGTGATTCAGCCAAACGAGAGGAGGGCTGCTGCTGCTGCCCGCTTGGAGAACTGCGCCCCCTGACGGCCAAAGGCTGAAAATACACCAACAAAAAAACTTATTTTTTGCCCTGAACAAACCTAAGTGGATACAAATGACACCTCTATATCGTACTTTTTTTCGGCGAGACACTGCTTGTGAATAGGGTAAACATATTAATTAATAAAGATCACTACGAAACTTTCCTAGTTGATTACTTACATTAGGACAATATTTTTTTTGTATTACAGGTTTTCTGAAATTGTATGTTTAGAAATGCAAAAGAGGCAGTATCTAATGAAATCTGATCTGTTTTATTTTGTTGAGAAATGAGACTCAAATGTTTTTACAAAGGGGATTTTGAAAATCTCGTTTTTTACCCCATAAATCATAATTTTCGTCATGTTTTGGTGGTGGTTGGGGGGAGGGGGTGATTTATAATTCAAGCTGTGAATAATATTAGTGCTACGGAAGTGGAGATTGAAGGAAAAACTATGTGCAGTCTTTTGGAAAAATCATGGGGGAAAAAATCCATTTCAGAAAACGACCTTTAAATATATGTACTGTAAAATTCCATTTAGAGAGACAGGTGAACTACCTAACAGATATCAACATCAAACTTCCCCAGTTGATTACATAGATTAAGACAATTATTTTTTGTATGACAGGTTTTCTGAAATATGTTTAAATGAGGCAGTATCTAATGAAATATGCGATCATTTGCATCTATTTAAAGAATTGAAATCTGAACACTGGATTAAGTCAGGTTCAAAATTGTTGTTTAATTTTGTTGCCATAATAGACTCAAATGTTTTTGCAGAGGGAATTTTGGATTTCTATTTTTTGGGGTATAAAAAGTTCTATAATTCAAGCTATGGATGATATATGAACAACCCCCTCAGTAGAAACATTCAGATTATACTTGGGAATAAATCTGGAAAGTTTGGTGTATTTAGGTGCTACTGAAGTTGAGATTTCAGGCACAGAGGATGAGGAAAAAATAATTTTGAGAAAACAGCCTTTAAAGAAATGTGTTGTAGAATTCCATAAATTTTGCAAGACACTACAGGTGAACAGGCGAACAACCTAACAGATATAAAACTTCCCCGGTTAACTACTTACAATAAGACAATTATTTTTGTATTACAGGTTTTCTATAATGAGGCAGTATCTAATGCTAAATGTTAGTGAATTTAGAGCAATCTGCAGAGGAATTGAGACAAACTGTAGCAAAATAAACACCTAAATGTATATTTGGGGCGTCTTCTTTCTGCTACTCTGAAAGAAGACTTGTTATGGAAGTAAATTATCCCCAAATCATCAATCAATTATTACGATAAATGTCACATCATTATTTCTTTTTAAGTTTAAAGGCTGATTTTTGCTCCTGAATGAAATTATATATATACACAGTATTCTTTATGGTCAGAACAAACACTTTATGCCAAACAGTGGATCACTTAAAAAATCTGAGGGAGAATAATGATAAAATCTTTTTTCAACATAGACGCATGAGTAAAATTACATTTTTCAGTCCCTCTTCCTTAACAGAATAAATATCTTAATAGAAAAATGCAGTGCTGATTTACTTGTGATTCAAATGAATTAAATCAAACATTTATTGAACATGCCCTGGGATGGACTGGCCCCCTGTCCAGGGTGTACCCCGCCTTTCGCCCGATGTCAGCTGGGATTGGCTCCAGCGGTTGACGATGGATGGATGGATGGATTTATTGAACATATTGTTATTGAGTACAAATTGTCATTTTAGATTTTTTGCTATGTGTACATGGTTGGATAGCAGTGTATTCTAAGAAATTTTATTACATATGATTCCTGATACATTTGCTAAAAAGGGGGGGAAAGAAAGTCAGCAAAATGCATTCAAACATTTAAGAAAAAGTAAAAACTAGATGGGTAAAATGCAGGGAAAAAATACAATATTATGCAACTACAATGTCCCTGCTAAGTAGGGCTGAAAATTATAAAAAAGATCTCCAATTCTGATTTGAAACATAACTGATAATTATTATAACATAACAAGGATCTGTACCAAATAAAGATTTTTTCTTAAGTCTGTAGAATATGATGTGTAGGCCAGGGCAGCATGACAGTATTTAATTTAACATAAAATGGCATGTTGACACACATTTTGCCTAATCAAATATTGCACCTTCTGTGATTAGAAAATTGAAAGTGTCACTGACTGACTCAAAACTGGTCAAATTACCACATTAAGGAATAAAATATAAGCACCTTCAAAATATTGTCTTTGCATAACTGTATGTGAAAGTTTGTCCTCTACCACGTTTTTTAAAAAAATCAGCAAAAAGACATTGAAGACAAACAGACACTGTTTTCCTCACCAAAGTGAATTTTGGTAAACCCATTAATATAAAAAAACTGCTTTGTGGTCAAATGAATGATTTGATAAGTGGGTTTTCAATGGCCCCAGGGGGGCTTCAAGCTCTTTCAGGGGAGGCTCAGTGAATGGCTGTGAACTAATATATTAGTTATTAAAAGTAGGCAACATCCACAGCATAAATGAGCCTGATTTGGTTAAAGAGATGTAGAATAGAGAGATATTTCACTCTTTCTCAGAGTCAGAAAATAATAAAATTCCTTACAACAGGCCTTTTTTTGAAGTTACATCAAACAGCAATATTAGGCTAACTTGGCACAATTGTTGAATATCTGAGGGATCAAATAACATTATCACGATACCATAGCTATCCAGGAACTGAGTGAAACTATGCAAGTAAACTAAGAGGGTATCAGCAGGCACCTTTTTCCAAGCTTTATTTGAGGGACGGCCCAGTCTCAGAATCTGACAACCCCTGGATGAAACAATTTAAAGTACCTTAAACATACAACATGGCCTAAACACCAAAGCCAACATGACACACACGACACAACTTTAAAACATTTCTGCAAAACTATTTTATTTACAAAACAAAATGGCACAAAGTGACAGCAGGGCAGCCATATACATGCACAGCGCTGACAGATGTAGTGCTAGCTTAGATTTACCACATCGCAGGTACGCTTCATCCAGTCAAGTACCCTGAAAAAGAAGCACTTTACGGGGCCAAGGATATTTTTAAGATAAAATTAATTCAATTTTTGATTATAGAAGGCTTTTCCCAAGTCTGAGAACAGCATTTGAGAGCTGCTCACAGTAAAACAGTTTTTTACCATAAATTCAGTCTACTTACACAGCATACGGTACACAAAGAAGGGTCCCTACAGACAGGAATTTAGCTTTCAGGTCCCATATACTCAGTCTTTGATGATGATTCATTCATGACAACTTGGAAATGGAAACTTTGGGCCGACGAGAGGACTATGTCGTCATCTGAGGTTGAAATGCATGGCACACCACAATTGCAGTGCAAACTTTCAATGTTGTAGTTCAAGCTAAAGTAACAACCCCACCCCCCTCCTCTTACACTCTTTAAAGTACAACACTTCCTTATTTCAAGATGTCTTGAATGCACCACCTACATGGCACTCAGTGCGCATACGCTGCTCCTGAACTTTTAAGTGTGTGTGTAAATGTCTGGGTTCAGCGCACCTTCAAGAATTAAAATGGATTAAGCTACGTTCAGAGTGCAGGCCAATGCGACCCAAATCAGATTTTTTTTGTTCATGTGCGACTCAGAACTGATCTTTTTATGAACAGGCCAAGTCACATGGAATCTGATTTTTCCACTTTGGATTTGGGCCACTTTCATATGTGGTCCAAATCCGATACAGATTGGATCTTTTTAAATGCGACCTCAGTCTGGACACTCAGGTCGGAATTGATGCAACTTTGACGTCACTCTAGAGCAGCTGTTGTCACAATCCTGCTGTAGACGGAGCTGTGGTGAACAAAAAAGCTCCACAAAAAGCCATTGTAAACATGTGGCTTTCTTCTTCCTCTACCTTGCTGTCATCTACTCACAAATTCCCTTTCTTCCACCTGAAATCCACTGGGCTTCAGCTCTCTTTTCAGTTATGCGCATGCTACTTGTCTGTGTGGACACAGTGGGGAGAAAGAGAGGGAGTGAGTTGTGTGGCAGTTGCGTTGTACAGCACCAGAAACCGAAATGTAAAAGAGACAAAGTTGTGAACACTTGTCATAATTTGGGAGAAATGTGACCCGTGAGAGACAAATGAAAAACGGGACTCTCCCGTGAAAATTGAGAGGGTTAGTAAGTATGAGCTAACCGTGGCTAGCCTCTGTGGCTCTGTTTACTTCTGTACAACAGCGTGCTGCTGCGTGTGATGTCATGTTATTTTTCTGCGCATGCAGGTCACTTTCAGGCCAAGGACAATTCACACTGAAGTCTGATTAAACAATAATGTGAACTCACAAAAAAAAAAAAAAAAACGGATCTGGGAAAAAAAATTTGAATTGAGCATTAAGGCCTGTAGTGTGAACGTAGCCATAACAACGCTCATCTTTGGGAGCTGTGTGGTCCTTTAGGATACCCCCCCGGTTCACAATCAAAGTGTTAACAAAACTGAGCTCGATCTGTTGATTACTATATTTAGCCCATCACATACAGTGAATGATACAAATCTGATGTAAAACTTTCTAAGGCTGACGTCGGCCCCTGTGCCAAACAAAAGGAAATATATATATGTGTATACTATATGTGTATAGTGTATACACATACATACACACAAACACACTTCCAAACTGAGGGATCCAGATGACCATGCTAAAGCCCTCCAACCACACAAGACACAGCTTCTTCTGCTGCTCACTCCTCTCCAGCTGGTAAATACCGGGGTATCAGTTGTACAGAGGCGTCACAGTCCGCTCATCACACTGACACTTGGATGCTCTGTCTTTTAGCATATCCTGTCTTTCAGCATATCTTACATGAGTAAAGAGAAAATAAAAAGGAACATGTAAAAGTAAGAGATGACAGAAGGGCAGTCAGTTTGGGGGAGTAGCGAGGGACAAAAACAAGGACAGGAGGTAGTAGAGACAGGGGCCAAAC